AGGTGCGGCAAAAGTCTGGGAGCCTAATTTTGCAGTATTGCATTTGAAAGGTACTAGTGGTTTTGATTTCAATTTTATGCCACATGATGCTGCGGTCATCCTCTACAGAACAGACTTTATTTGACTGGAAAGGGCTGCCATATGTTTTTGTAAGAATAGAGATTATCAAACTACCCTATTTTCAGGTGTATAAGCCGCACCCTTTTTGCTCTAGACGCGAGCAGACCCAGGCGTGCCGCCGCGCCTACCTCTCGCGAAGCGGTCGCCTTATCGCATACTGCTCTCACTTAACGCGCTCCATGATGACAGTCAGTCTTTTGGAGTGTTCTCCTTTAGAGTGAAAAGGGTGCGGCTTATACACCTGAAAATAGGGTAGTACTTTTGCAAAGCGAAAAAACCAGAAATTCGATATTTACTACTTTTGCTATAACTAGAGATGCTGTTAACATTTTACAACGCTGCAATGCATACAAGATAGAAGAGGCTTTGCGCTATTGGATTTTGTTAGGAGATGTTCTTGCATGAACGGAAAATAAAGGTTTGCGAATGTTACTTACGTATCAGTGGAAATCCGTCTGTCTTCAGAAAAAATCTAAAAGCTATAGAATGCTCAACTGGCACGGAACCTAAGCTGTATTTTTTGCATACGTCTTCTAAATTAGAATCTATTGAAATTCGGCCATGGGAACACTTTTTATACTTTTTAAACGATAATTTTGAGTTTTTATTAGCGCAATTGTAGCCAAAACTCTAGTATGCGACGTACACATGCTTCTAATTGAAAATCCAATATTTTTTCCTAAGCAATGCAAAAAATTCTTTTGGAAGCATGTTGTAGATAAAAGCTTGGTCTATCGTGCTACACATTTGCCAAGGTGTAAGAAGCAGTTATTGTGAAGGCGTGGGGCGAATTTCATTACGACTACCTGCGTGCCATGACAGGTGGACTTGCCAAAATTTTGTAGCGCTGCGTGGAAGCCAAAAGAGGCAGTTTTGCAATTCAAGAACTGGGCTGTATCTGCAATGACTCGAATTATGTGTGCGCCAAAATTTTCGTTTCTAGGTATTTCTCTTCTCGTTTTGTACGAAAAAGTACTAGGCTCACAGACTTTTGCGCACCCTGTAGATGCGACTTTCGCAACCAAATAGTGCCTTCGTAAAAAACTAGGAACTGAGTTTTTTGACCTGGAAATTTTGTAGCTCACAAAGGACGCAAAGAAACAGTCCGAAATTTTCAATATAAAAACCATAATAGAGCAAACTCTTGCAGAAAATGAATTTCCTTAGATTCGAGAAAACCCTACATGCGACCTAGATACGACTTTTCTAATTTTTTTGGCGATAAAACATTATGAGAAAATCCACAGACTACAAAACAAGACCAAGTTTCGCACAGATACAGTAAGGAATTCTTATTATACAGCTAAATTATAAGGGCAATATGATTCACATTACAAAAAGATTCAAAAACTATTGTTGGTCATCGTTGGTAGAAATATCCGTTTTTTTTTTGATTGTGTGAGGTTTCAGCAAGGCTCATAAATCGAGAATTCCAAGCTCATCGATAATTCAATCTAGTTAATTGCAATTCGTGGCTAGGAAGGATGCGCTAGCGTTTCCGTGGTTAACGAATTTTTGATGTAAACGCCCCTACACAACAGCGATACATGAGTGGCAAAGACTGTATAAGTATGAAGTTGTTAAAGAGAATTCAATCCTGACTATGAGATTTCGGTATCTGCACTCGGTACTTGACAAAGTTATAGCTAGTGTCGACCAAAGTTGGCCGTAAACTGCGGAGCACGCGCGAATCGGCGTGTGAGAACGATTTATTACAGCGAGTATCACGCAGTGCGGTCGTAGGATTTACGTCCGGTGAGGGGCGCGGAAAAAATTTTTTTTCAAATTCAACTTTCAAATTTTTAATCAATTTTTTTCCAAATTCAATTTTCAATTTTTTGAAATCCCTCCCCCTTCGCACCACCCCACCCCTTCGGACCGCCGTACAGGGTTTGACTGGGCGATCCCCACAATGTAGGGATTTCATGAAATAGTATGGTTAAGAACAGAAAAGCTGATGAGGGCTGTTTGTCGATTGGCGTCGAATAAAAGTGAGACGAAGCAAGGACGTTAAAAGGCGGTGACATGTCAATATACACAGTTTGAACGTGTTGAAGTATGCTTCTAACCTGCTCATTTGTCTATGTCGAGTCACATGTTAAAACATGTATCTCTACATGAACAGTGAGCATGTTAGAAAGTAGTCACTACCTAATTGTAAGAGCTCTGACACTGAATGAAATGGAATGCCGCGGATGCAATATCTTATCGCACCGCATAGACTAAGTCCATTTTATCCGCACGAAAAGCCCTTTCGCGGGGACTTTCGTGGATATCATTCCAGGATTATACCATTTTACAAAGACATCATTATCGACGTGAAGAGAGGCGTACGACAAGGCGATACTATATCGTCGAAATTATTCAGTGCCACTCTGAAGAACGTCATGCGTAAGTTGAAGTGGGACAACATGGGAGTGAAAGTCGACAGCCGGCAACTACACCACATTTAATTTGCTGATGACAACGTATTGATAACACCAGCATCCCGCAGGCGGAATTGCTGGCTCAGTTTGACGAAGTGTGTGGAAAGATCGGCCTACGGCTGAACCTATGAAGGCAATGTCTATGAGGAACGGAAGAGTGCTTAGTGTTCCTTTCATGCTCAACGGGACGATCATCACCAAATGCTCAAGCTACATCTAACTAGATCGTAAACTCAATATGATAGACGATCTAGCTCCGAAACTGAGCGGGAGGAAAGGAAACGAGCAGCATAAGGAGCATATAAGACAATTGAGGACGTAGTGAAAAAGACCAAGAACAACCGGCTCCGCGCACACCTCTTTAACTTGGCGGTTCTTCCTGCTTTGACGTACGCTTCAGAAACATGGGCAATGAAGAAGCAGGATGAACACTCGGTTAGCGTAATCGAACGTGCTGTTGAGAGAGGATGATAAAAGTGAACCGACTTACGCAAGTGAGGCAAGGAATGCGAAGTTTTACCGTACGTCAAAGATCGAAAATTAGGGACGCTGCCGCATACGCTAAACAGAACAAGATGAGATGGGCCGAGCACATAATGCGTTTTGACGACAACCAGTGGACGAGAGCTGTAACAGATTGGATACCACTAGACGTCAAGCGCAAAGGAGGAAGACCGCGATAGTCAGATATGTTCACGAAGTTCTTTAATGAAGTCCTTTAGAGCGTTTCAAGTATTTTTGGTGCGATACGTAAACACTGGTCAATACGTGTCTTATTTTCATGTACCTCGGACGTTCGATGAACATGGAGAACGCGACTTGAGGAAAAAACTCAACATAAAGAAGAGCGGCTTGAGTTGCCTTCGTGCCTCTAAAGGAAGTTACCAACCACTGACAAGGGAATGGTCAGAAGTCGAAGTGGCCAAACCAGAGAAATTGTATATCATTCGATGCAGTATAAAACGCTGACTCCGAATCTGTCTTCCTTATCTGCTTCCCGCTTCTGTGGACGAAGCTACAAGCGGTTTTATTGTGAAAAAATCATACATAAAACAGCGAAATTGAGCACATTGTTGCACTCTTAGCTTAACTTCTGGCTTTAAAAATTTGAAGTAAGCTAGCTGCATGTTTTGACTTAGCATTAAGGCGAACGTGGCTCTGTCTAAATTTTCAATTTCACGCATAATTTCTTAGCAAAATAATGGTTTTAATGGCTTATAGCTTCGTCCAGAAAAGCGATAAGCAGGTAAGGAAGACAGATTTAGAGTCAGCGCTTCATGCTGCATTTAAGGGTATGCAGCTTATCTGGATTAGCCACTTCGATTTCTGACCATTCCCTTGTTAGAAATTATGCGTGAAATTGAAAACTTAGCCGTACAGACCTCGTTCGCCTCAATGCTGGACCAAAACATGCAGCTAGCTTACTTAAAATTTTTGAAGCCAGAAACCGAGCTAAAAGTGCAGCAATGTGCTCAATTTCGCTGTTTTTATGTATGAATTTTTCACAATAAAACCGCTTGTAGCTTCGTCCACAGAAGAGGGAAGCAGATGAGAAAGAGATTCGAATTCAGCGTTTTATACTGCATCGAATGATATACAGCTTGTTTGGTTTGGCCACTTCGACTTCTGACCATTCCCTTGTGAGCTTTGTGCCCACCTGTTTGACTCATCTGTTCTCCCGGCGTTCTGTTACGCAGCTGAAACTTGGGCAGACACCGTAGCCATAGCCACCTCGAAAGCTCTAAGAACCACTCACAGAACACTAAAGCGCAGTGCTTTAGGATGACCCGACACAAACAACATCTTGTCGGAGCAGTACGAATATGAGAAACATGTTTCGTCGTTGTGACTCAGCGAATACGTCGCGAAGGCGAAGCACTGATGGGTCGGTTACATTATGAGAAGAACAGAAGACAGATAGGCAGAAACATCAAAAACATGTGGATTCCTCACAAAGCAAAACGTCCTCGAAGACCTCTAACGAGATGAGCAGACGTGTTCGTGGAACGGATGGACCAGCTGAGATATCAGCTGGATACGATTTTCGCTCTTGAAGCTCGTGGACGCAGCCACCTACGACAACCAAAAAAATAGTGGATGTCTGAAGCGAGGGACAGGGATAAATGGAAACTTCTGAACTGGGTTCCGCCTGCCACGTGGGACGGGCATTTAAGTGTAAGCAAGCGGCAAATGATGTTTACCTGATTTACTTAGGACAGATTCGCAATACAACCTGAATCTTTTTTCCCCTTTTTGAATTCCACCTTTTGCAACAGTATGACGAGTGTCCTCCCGCTAATGTAAGGCATAGCTTCCATTACCTTCAGAACTGAGCAAACGGTACCTTTAAGGTTTATCTGTTTATCATCAATTTATTGTAAATTAACCGCTTCGAAACTAATGCAATAACTTTTGTGTCAGCGTACTTGTAGCATCAATCTCAAAAAGTTTCAGATCTAACAAGACGAGTTCCTCCAAACACTGTGCGAAAGTAAGTTGACATATACTTCTAATAATGTCAAAGTGGAGCAGCTGTTTTTAGTCAAGCTACTTGATCGTCGGTCCAACTATACACAGCACGTACGCGACCACACATTTTGGTAAAAATTTTTTTTTGTAATTTGCTCAAATTTTGATTGCTTGCAAAGAGATGAAAACCTCTTAATCATCAAGTTACCTCGTCAAGAAATAACAGGGGAAAGTTGTTCATATTGATGGGACATGGACCTACATGAGATAGGATGAATGAACAAGTTCTGGTCTAGAGAAAATTTGTTTTTGCTTATGTAATGTCCTTGCTGTCAGTTTGCTAAGAAGGAAAAAACCCGAGGTCACCGTGGCCTTTCCGTATAAACTGTATATGATCTTCTGATATCTGCAAAGTGATTCTTCAAAAAAGTTGCGGACGTTTTTTCTGATTATTTTGGAATGATACCAAACAGCCAAAATCGTCGATACTGGCCAAGTTGTTTGTTTTATGCTACAGAGGAACAGCAATTATGTTACACCACTGTATCCAGTCCAATTGAATCGAATCCTATAAGAAAGCAAGAAAACCTCATACTGCTCATTCTTACTCTTTTAACTCTCTGTAATTGCTGTGAAAGACGTTTGTAACTTTTTCCAGGGAACGATTTGCAGGTAGCGAGCGCGTAGATTTGAGGCCAGCGCTACAAGACAAGTACAATACCGCTCATAATTCGTCAAAAAAGTCGCCGAACTGCGGCGCACTCCGCCACACTCCGCCACAGTGCGCCGGAGTGTGGCAGAGTGCGGCGGAGTGTGGCAGAGTGCGGCGGAGTGTGGCAGAGTGCGGCGGAGTGTGGCAGAGTGCGCCGGAGTGCGGCAGAGTGCGCCACACTCCGCCGCAGTGCGCCGGAATGATCGTCAATTTAGCCATATCTCGCTTCAGAATGGACGAATTCTGAATCCGAGGACACCGTTCGATTCGCTCGACGAGACGCATCATCTTATATATGAAGCTAAACTTCTGTTTGTCTGTTTGTCTGTACGTATGTTCCGAATAGAAAAATCCATTTCTGAACCGATCCGGACCAAACTTGGCACACATACACTTCGGGCACCGGCGGATGTCATAGGCAACTTTTCTTCATCGATCGATATCGATTTTATCGATTTTTAGCGATTTTTTTGCAGAGTTCACCTATGGGGCTGGGAGTTTGCATAGGGGGTAATCGAGCATGGGGATTCCGAATACAATATTAGTTTTCGATTATCGATTACTTTTATCGATTTTATCGATTTTTTTGCAAAGTTTGAGCTACGGAGTGGGAGTTTGCACAATCACAATGGTAATCGAGCATGGGGATTCCGAATACAATATTAGTTTTCAGATTATCGATTATTATTATGGTTGAATTCAGTTTGCTGATAACAGTATTACCATTGATCTGTCGCTGATGACACATAGACAGTATACTATAGGAGTATGGTAGAGAGCCGCTCTCATCGAATTTGTTCTAAGATCTGCTCAAGATCACAATACCGCGCACAGAATGTCAAAATTTCCGTGAACTTCGCGGAATTCCGGGATTTCCACCAAAGTGCGTGATAATCCGGGAAGTTCGCGACATATCAGGATCCGCGAAACCATGCGAATCACGCAGAGAACGCAACGCCATAAAATCCTTCGGAATGAATATATTCCGAATCCAGAAGCAGCATTGTGTTCAGATCGTCGAGGCAAATATTTTGATATACAGTATGCTCTCGATATTCCATTTCCAGTTTTTTCAAATTTTTTTCTGTGGAGGTCTTTTCGCAAGGATGCAACGCAGCGTCTGTGTAACATAAAAGATTCCAGTAAACACTGTTCGATAGTACTGTCCTTGTAGATTATCGTGCGTTTAAGAGTAGCTGCAGACTGTCTCCCAAAAGAGACAGAAGCATTGGTGAATTTTGGAAAAATCACGCGTTTCTAAATTCTACTCGCCGTAACTTCCTTCGGAATGAACATATTCTGAATCCGAAGAGAGCTTTGTGCTCAGTTCATCAAGGCAAATCTTTCGATACACACCATATCCCTGATATTCCGATTTCAATATTCTCAAATCTTTCTGTAGACGTCTTTTTGTGAAGGTGTAAAGCAGCGCGCATTGCTCCTAGTAGACTCCAGCAAGGACCTTTCGATAGTACTTTTTCTGTAGATTACGTAGCCCTAAAAAGTAGTCACAGGCATCTTTCCATAGAAGTTAGAAGGGCTGGTGAATTCTGGAAAAATCATGTCGTTCTAAATTTTTCTCAACGTAACTCTAAAATATGAAGCTCTCTTGCTAAGCAGATGTGATTTTCGTAATCAGCAGGTCGGATAACCCTTATAAGCAAGTTTTCCAAGATGTTCGAGTAATTTCATTTTTTCTCGTTTTACGCTCTGAAGCTGCCCGATGGATTTTGGTCAAAATGTTCATGCTCTTAAATTGTAAGGAAACTTCGCTTATAGAGGTTTTCGAATACGCTCTTTACGAAAATCGTGGTCTTTGAGGATTACAGGGTCTTCTTGGAGAGATACGGTGAGGTGACTGTAACCGCATCACGAAAGCTCGTAACTTCGCCTCCACCTCTCACGTGTCTGTCAAAGAACCTGTCTGCTTGCTTTACTTTTCAAAGATAGTAGGAGATGTGCTATCGAATGGCGCAAGACTCAGACTCCAGTCTATAAAATTCGCCGAGTTACGAGCCTACGAAAACACGTTCTCATGAATTTTTGCTCAAAATGTAAAGATCGCAGATTTCGTCGAAATTCCACCGTGAGTGCTTGTACAATACGCTGATCAAATCTTTTCACATTCTTAATGGATCTTATTGTGAGATTTGGTGATTTGAGCTTTAGCCACAAAACAGCTTTGATATCAATTGCTGAAGCACACGCAAGCACCATATTCAATACGGTGGAGTTATTGAGCGAAAAGAACATAATATCCGCAATGCGAGCGTCATACAAGCACTCACGGTGGAATTTCGACGAAATCTGCGATCTTTACATTTTGAGCAAAATTCATGAGAACGTGTTTTCGTAGGCTCGTAACTCGGCGAATTTTATAGACTGGAGTCTGAGTCTTGCGCTATTCGATAGCAACATCTTCTACTATCTTTGACAAGTAAAGCAAGCAGACAGGTTCTTTGACAGACACGTGAGAGGTGGAGGCGAAGTTACGAGCTTTCGTGATGCAGTTACAGTCACCTCACCGTATCTCTCCAAGAAGACCCTGTAATCCTCAAAGACCACGATTTTCGTAAAGAGCGTATTGGAAAACCTCTATAAGCGAAGTTTCCTTACAATTTAAGAGCATGAACATTTTGACCAAAATCCATCGGGCAGCTTCAGAGCGTAAAACGAGAAAAAATGAAATTACTCGAACATCTTGGAAAACTTGCTTATAAGGGTTATCCGACCTGCTGATTACGAAAATCACATCTGCTTAGCAAGAGAGCTTCATATTTTAGAGTTACGTTGAGAAAAATTTAGAACGACATGATTTTCCAGAATTCACCAGCCCTTCTAACTCCTATGGAAAGATGACTGTGACTACTTTTTAGGGCTACGTAATCTACAGAAAAAGTACTATCGAAAGGTCCTTGCTGGAGTCTACTAGGAGCAATGCGCGCTGCTTTACACCTTCACAAAAAGACGTCTACAGAAAGATTTGAGAATATTGAAATCGGAATATCAGGGATATGGTGTGTATCGAAAGATTTGCCTTGATGAACTGAGCACAAAGCTCTCTTCGGATTCAGAATATGTTCATTCCGAAGGAAGTTACGGCGAGTAGAATTTAGAAACGCGTGATTTTTCCAAAATTCACCAATGCTTCTGTCTCTTTTGGGAGACAGTCTGCAGCTACTCTTAAACGCACGATAATCTACAAGGACAGTACTATCGAACAGTGTTTACTGGAATCTTTTATGTTACACAGACGCTGCGTTGCATCCTTGCGAAAAGACCTCCACAGAAAAAAATTCGAAAAAACTGGAAATGGAATATCGAGAGCATACTGTATATCAAAATATTTGCCTCGACGATCTGAACACAATGCTGCCCTCTGGATTCGGAATATACTCATTCCGAAGGATTTTATGGCGTTGCGTTCTCTGCGTGATTCGCATGGTTTCGCGGATCCTGATATGTCGCGAACTTCCCGGATTATCACGCACTTTGGTGGAAATCCCGGAATTCCGCGAAGTTCACGGAAATTTTGACATTCTGTGCGCGGTATTGTGATCTTGAGCAGATCTTAGAACAAATTCGATGAGAGCGGCTCTCTACCATACTCCTATAGTATACTGTCTATGTGTCATCAGCGACAGATCAATGGTAATACTGTTATCAGCAAACTGAATTCAACCATAATAATAATCGATAATCTGAAAACTAATATTGTATTCGGAATCCCCATGCTCGATTACCATTGTGATTGTGCAAACTCCCACTCCGTAGCTCAAACTTTGCAAAAAAATCGATAAAATCGATAAAAGTAATCGATAATCGAAAACTAATATTGTATTCGGAATCCCCATACTCGATTACCCCCCTATGCAAACTCCCAGCCCCATAGGTGAACTCTGCAAAAAAATCGCTAAAAATCGATAAAATCGATATCGATCGATGAAGAAAAGTTGCCTATGACATCCGCCGGTGCCCGAAGTGTATGTGTGCCAAGTTTGGTCCGGATCGGTTCAGAAATGGATTTTTCTATTCGGAACATACGTACAGACAAACAGACAAACAGAAGTTTAGCTTCATATATAAGATGATGCGTCTCGTCGAGCGAATCGAACGGTGTCCTCGGATTCAGAATTCGTCCATTCTGAAGCGAGATATGGCTAAATTGACGATCATTCCGGCGCACTCTGCCACACTCCGCCGCACTCTGCCACACTCCGGCGCACTGTGGCGGAGTGTGGCGGAGTGCGCCGCAGTTCGGCGACTTTTTTGACGAATTATGAGCGGTATTGTATGCCTTATCCAACGAGAAAAGATTAAGGCGATCTGGGTTCTTTCATCGTTATAACTAGGGATGTAGTCGCACAAATCTGTTTATCCAAGTGATGAATGTGCGGCTCATGCAGGAATGACAAGGTG